CATTAAAAAACCCACACAAAGGGTTAAATGCTGCACTAACTGAACAAGAGCTAACTTCACCTAGCAACAACACTTTTTATATATCATCAGGGCTTTGACTGAAACAAGCTCCTTTGTGAATTAGACGGTGAGGCGGAGCAGACTGAGGGAGGACATGAGGAGTCATGGAGATACAAGCGGGTGCAGTTCTTTCTGAGTGAATCAGACTCTTAGTGTTCAAAAGTAATATGAGAGAAAGTGAGATTTATGTTTCAGGTTAAATTCTTTTCATTGTATTGTCAGTCATGTCGTTGAAGCTCCAGAGCAGCTGCTGATGGTGGGAGGAGCCATGATTACAATCAGCTTTGAGTGTGTGTGTGTGTGTGTGTGTGTGTGTGTGTGTGTGTGTGTGTGTGTGTGTGTGTGTGTGTGTGTGTGTGTGTGTCCTGACTCTTACACAAAACCTTCTCACCAATATAGTAATCCATGTACGAGCAGGGTGGATGAACATAAGGGGACTTGGCTGACCTCTCAGGACTCGGCGGAGTCAGGCGGAGCGTTTGAAAAATATTCGGTGGACAAACAAAAATGTAAACAAACTGTGTGTACTCGAGTAAATCGCTCCCATGAACAATCAGAGACACAGCTCATTAACTCTGACCCCATACGTCCAGGACGAATATTTTCAAGAACTATTTGATCTGGTCTCCATCAAAACCAGCACATAGTCAGAGACCAGTTTACAGGACGTATGATCTAAATCTGTCTGCACAAAGAAAACATTAAAGGTGACATATTCTCCTCCTCCTCTTCAGTTTAAATAAGTCTCAGAGCTCCTCAAAACATGTGTGTGAAGTTTCTTGTTCTAAATCCACTCTGATCCTGTATTTGATCATGTCTATAAACCCCTCTATTTCAGCCCTGCTCAGAACAGGCTGTTTCTGTGTCTGTACCTTTAAATATGTAAATGAGCTGTGTCTGACCCTCTCTAGAAGGGCTTGGGTGTACTCGGTCTTTCTCGCTCCATGTTCTATTGTTTACGGTGAGAAGGCAGACTCAGAGGGCAGAACAAACACCTAGCTGTGGGAGTGTCACCCACCTGGGGGAGGGGCTACTGCCATTGTGATGTCATGAAGGGAAAATCTCCAAATGGCCTGTTTGAGCACACATTTTCTGAAAAGTGGAGCAGGCAGAAGACGGAGAGGATGGACTTCTCTCATCATTGGGGGGTTTGTAGACGGACTAGAGACACATGTTAGAGATAGAGGAACATGGTGAAGAGGATTTTGTAGAACATGTGACCCTTTAAGTTCTGATGTTCAGTTTTCTTTACTTTATGAAAACTGCTTTCCTCCTTTTTTGTAACCAGACTTTAGGAATTCAACATGACTTAAAACCTCAGAACACCCACTCTACTCTCCTGCTCATGTCCTGTTACAGACAAGTAGAAAGAAGCCGATGCCGACCCGACAGTAGAGCCTGCACGTCCTGCGTCCCGGCCGGGTGGATCTCCTCCTCCAGAAGTTGTCGCTCCACAGAGATGCGCTGAGTTCCGGCAGCGGCAAAAAGCAAGTGAGCGACGGTCAGAGGGTACCTGGTCCCTCTCTTGTGTTTTAGGTCTTGTCTACATGACAGGTTGCTTTGTTTACATGATAATGGCGTTTTAGGTGCCTGAAAACATGCCTCCAAAGTTAAAAAAAAAAAAATGGTGTACATACTAATTCTGTTTTTAAAATCTGGTATTTGAGGACATGCTTGCATACTGGACTTGAACCTGCATGCGACCCTCCAGTTCCCAATCCAAGTCCCTACAGAGACCCCCATCTCTGTCGACGTGTAAACTGGGAAAATTCACAAAACTTCTCGCACATGCTCATTACGTCTCCTTCACTTAGAGACTCTAAACTTTTCTTTAACGAGCATGACGGGTTCTCTGAATCTTCTCGTAGTTCGGTTTTCTTCTGATTGTTTTAATTTCAGCTATTTTTTAATATGTTGGATGAATCTCAAAGTGTAAATTCTGTAATATTAATTTGTGGAGTTCAGACTTCATGCACATCTGCAGAGCACCACAAACACCGTTTCTTTGTCTGTTATGATTCGATTTCATTTGAATGCTGTTGAATATTCTCCAAAGTTAAAAAAAGAGCTGCATGAGGTCCTCATTGTCCGACTGTTGTTTACCTCTTCACATTCAGGATCACACGCTCAGCACTGAGGGCTCATTAGAGGAGCATGTTCATCATGTAGATAACCGCGTCCCCCTGGCCGCTCAGATGCCCTCGACCCTCAGATTGATCACCGTCTCTGGGCTCAGACGGTTTCGGGTCTGTCTGCTGTTTGCTTAGACTAAGAAGCTGTTAAAAGCCGGGATCAACGGGGCGGGGTATCAATCAGGATCATCCATGTTTATACGCCTCAGGAGGATTAGCTCACTGTTAGCGGCGCGGCCTCACAGGAATGAGGGCCCATTAGAACAGAGGGACTAAACACTGAACTCGTGTTTACATAAGGAGCTGATGTGGGCTCGCCGTGCCACAGACAATTAGACCCCTAACAGGACGTAATCCACCGCCGGGCGCGAGCTCATCAATTCAAACAGAGCCGACCCCGAACACACCATGAGGGACGGATTACAACCGACGCACGCAGAGATAGAAAATTAACACGATGAACACAGAACACCGACCAACATTCAGAGGTTACAGAAACATAAAGAAGTTTAAAGGAAGTCTTTGCAGGTCATTGGATCACCGTGTCTCTGGGCTCAGACGGTTTTATAACTCCTGATTGAGAACCTCTACCAGCTGTGTGATGACTTTGTGTTGAGTAAGTGAAGTCAGTGTGAGCAGGTTTTAAACTGTGCCAGTGTGTGAGCTTCAGAATCAAGAAATGAGAAAATAATCTTTTAGAGGAAAAATTTAAAACAAGGGACAACCTGCAGGGCTGAGAAATAAAGGCAACACTCTTTGACCAAATGCAAAAAACTGCAGTTCCTCCAGTGTCCACTAGAGTCTGTCTCCTGCAGTGAGTCAGTCCTCATAGAGCTCCATGTTAAAATGTCCAACTTTACAGCTGCAGTTCCTCCAGTGTCCACTAGAGTCTGTCTCCTGCAGTGAGTCAGTCCTCATAGAGCTCCATGTTAAAATGTCCAACTTTACAGCTGCAGTTCCTCCAGTGTCCACTAGAGTCTGTCTCCTGCAGTGAGCCAGTCCTCATAGAGCTCCATGTTAAAATGTCCAACTTTACAGCTGCAGTTCCTCCAGTGTCCACTAGAGTCTGTCTCCTGCAGTGAGTCAGTCCCCATAGAGCTCTATGTTAAAATAAACATGTTTACATCCTGGTACAAAAACAGTTTGGGTCTCTAGAGCTCATTTCTCTCTTCAACTGTTTGGGCTGAATGTTTATACAGCTCACTTGTTTACATTATTTTAAGACTTAAAGGGATGTAGAATTAGGGGGCGTGGCTTCTTTGAGTGACAGGGGATGCTAGCTGTTGGCTAGGTGTCACCTCAGCTGATTCAGTCCCTGACCTTTAACCTCTGGGCTGTTTTTTTTAATGGTTCTGTCTTATTAACCTTGAGTTAAGTTGACTATGCATGATGTGTGTTACTGGAGTTTACCTCTAGAGGGCACACCTGGGCGCAGGGCGTGTGCGCTGATGTGCAGGATGTAAACTGAAGCTTCACTCAAGAAGGTTACAGTTTTATTATTCATGAGATCAGCGGTGGACAGAACGCCACATTCTGTTTCTCGAACATTTTCCTTCATACACGGACAAAACAGAATCCTAAACGTGTTTCCTTTTAGTTTAGTTTTTTCACATCAACAATCAATGAAACACACAGGAAGGGTTAAATGCTACTCTGACTAATTTGACATTTTGACAAACATGTTTGTCTCAGTGCAGTAAGAATGAAACATCACAGAAGGGTTGTTGTGATACCAGAATATGAATCTTTTTTATAATTCTAATAAAAAATCAAACGATAACGATGCTTTTTATGCACAGCAACAAAAATACATGACACCCAATATGGAAACTTTTTTTGTTTTCAATGATCAAAAAAAGCAGGAAAGCTCCAGCACACTCTCTCAGTTGCACAAACATGTTGGCAACATTTCAATAGCAAAATCTTGTGAAATTTAGAAAGTGTGCTGGAGCTCTTGAGCTATTTTGATGGATATATTTCTCTCCTATACCCACCTGAACTGCCTCTACAAACTTATTTACACATTTCTGTGGGTTTTAAGGGGAAACAAATCATCAGGTAGCAGGGTGTAGTATCTTCAGGGGCAATGAAAACCTAAGAAATATTTGAAGAAACAGAAAAAAGCAGTGACGTGTTTAAAAGCAGTTTCTTTCTACGTTATTTTTATGCAGTTATTCAAATAGTTACTTTTCCTTTGGCCCTGCACACAGACCAGAACACTCTGCAGCCTGTCAGAGTGTCTCTGTCAGAGCATGAGGACGTATCAGATGATAAGGTAAAGCCTATAAATACAGCTGCAGAGTGTCCCGGTGTATAAACTCTGCTGCTCCACCTGATGATCTCTGCTGTCTGCACCCTCACTCCTCCCTGCTGCGCTTTAAGTTTCACTTTTTCAGTTTAACTCTCCATATATGGAAATAAACACAGCCAAGAAAGGGTTTTTATTTCATGATTTTTTTAGCAAAGAATCAATCGTGTCCTCGAGCTGGTCAAACGATGCCTCCTTGTGCGTAAAATGCCGCGCTCGGTGCGTCCTGGAGCGGACGATTCTGTGGGAAATGTGCGGTGTGAGTCGCGCTTCCTTCACGCCCCGCTGCTGTGGATCGGTGCTGAGCAGGAGTGGCATCTCGGCGACAAAATCTGGATGAAAGAGCGTCCTGCAGAGCTGAGGCATGCACCGAGCAGCAGTGAGATCACTGGCGTTATAAATATCCCCGTGCCAGCAGAACCAGCCGGGGTAATGCCCGGACCAGAGGACAGACGCCAACATGCTGGACGCAGCGTAGCGACAGTCTCCTCTCAGGAAGAATGAATGTTCCTCTCTACCTTCTGACCGTCGCTCACTTGCTTTTTGCCGCCGCCGGAGCTCAGCGCGTCTCTGTGGAGCGACAACTTCTGGAGGAGGAGATCCGGCCGGGACGCAGGACGTGCAGGCTCTACTGTCGGGTCGGCATCGGCTTCCACCTCCAGATTCATCCCGACGGCAGAGTGAACGGCAGCCATGAGGCCAACCAGCTGAGTAAGTGTCTCTCTCTCTCTCTCTCTCTCTCTCTCTCCCCGGTGTCCCGGTGCACGGAGCAGCTTCACACTAAATTATAAAACGTCTGACGCGCACATGAGTCCTGCGCGTCCCGCTGAGAGTGCGCAGTGGGATCCTCTCCTGTCTGCAGCTGGAGCTATCTTTACTAAAAGTTCAAACAATAATCATACATACGGACACGAGCTGTGTGTGTGTGTGTGTGTGTGTGTGTGTGTGTGTGTGTGTGTGTGTGTGTGTGTGTGTGTGTGTGTGTGTGTGTGCAGGTAGACTATTCGTGGAAGTAACAGGTGCAGCAGGGAGGATGTATCGGATTCCCAAACTAAACCATTGTTATCACAGGCTGCTGCATCACACACTGCAAAAAGTAAAACCACGAACAATTTGACTTTGATTAATTTTGTTTATAATAATTGTGACGCAGTCAGCACACACACCAACACACACTGACACACACAGACACACACCAACACACACACGCCGAACTTTCCCCTCTGCCAGCGCTCCTATATCACACCATCATCCTCCTTTCCCTCCCATGCTGCACACTTGAGAGCTCTATGTGGGTCGTTAGGTTTGCACTCCACTGTGTCCCGTTTGTGTTCCAAACACAGGCGGCCCATCTCCGTAATGTAAATAGTAAAGTGGTCACGTGACTTGACTGAGTTAATTAAATGTTTGTTTTTAAAGTCTCTCCACAGATACGTTTCTGTGGTATTAATAAAACATTGATTAAAAAGCTTCATTTAATAAATGTCTGTCACATAAGTGTGAAAGGTTAAAAAACTTTAATTCATGAGAAAATGTGTTTTGTTTAAAAAGTCATTCATGACGCCCAGTGGGAGGGGCTTCTGGTTTAAAAGATGGCGGCTTGCTACTTTCAATCAGGCTATTCGGGGTTACAGAGGAGGCGACATCTGCTGGAGACTTTGTGTTTTGCTCGTTCATGTGGAACTTTTGTTTTTTAAAGTCTTGTCTGTAAATAGTGTAAATACTATTTTTCCTGTTTTTGCATTTGTTTCTGTAAATCTCTGTCCCTGCACCTTGGGACGCCGGCTAGAAATAAAAACCACCAATAGCAGTCTTCGGCGATACGCCTTTGTGTTTTTTACAATTTTTGGGGTGTTTGAAAGAGAACCCCGTCACAATAATATTCAAACTTGTTACCTTTGAAATGTAAAATCATGAATACTTGAAACATGATATGTCCCCTTATGGAAATTTGTCTTGGACTCAAAGTGCTGCAAACATTCAGCTGCTTCCACAAATTAAAACAAAGAATATTCAAACAGAATCAACACAAACACATGCACACACACAACTAAGCAACAGATAACACACAGGATCTGCATGAAACACAACATAAGTAACAAAAGTAAACAGATAATGAAATGACTTAGATTCTATTTTGTGAAACCAAAGTCGGACACAAAGAGATGATTGAGGATTAAAACCTTCACTCAGTTCCTCTGCGTGTACAGAGTGTTGACACAGGAAGTGTGTGGGTTTATTTGAGGTGTTTTCAGATCTAACTCAAAGGTCCAAGAAGGTTTCAGAAGCAAAAAGTCTGACACTTTATTTTAAACAAACGTTTACAATAAAGAAATGTTGAAACAGTCAGGAAACATGCTACAGAGTGAAAATGAAGATTTAACAGCTGATGACTTAAACACACAAATATAATGAAACTGTGAGGGAGCTAATCGTCTCAGTGCAGAGTCAGGTGTGTGTGTGTGTGTGTGTGTGTGTGTGTGAGTATTTGTTGGAGCTGGAGATTTCTGACCTTTATGTTCCTGTTTGACCCGGGTCTGCTGGTCTGCTGGTCTGCTGGTCTGCTGGTCTGCTGGTCTGCTGGTCTCAGCTGTAGAGTTTGGTTGTTCTTCTCTTTTGGTGAAGTTTGAGAAAAGAGAGCCTATTTTTTGACTTGTAACTATGTTAGTTATTTTCCCCCTTCTTTTTAATTGCTTGTAGTTTTTGTGGTTATCCCTCTGGGGATCACTTTTCGATACTCGTCATCCTTAAAGAAACAGAGGATTCCAGTTTGTGTTTCCTTTCTGGACTCTTCAGAGGACGCTTCATTCCACCAGAGAGCTCCTGTTAGCTGTTCCGCTCAATGAGGACTCACGCAGCGCTCTGATGTATTTTTTGATTGGACACAGGTGAGGACACTGAGGGCGATCAAAACTGGAGGGAAACAAGAAACACTGGGCAGGATGCACAGCGGCAAAAACTTCAAAATAAAACAGGAAACACTAAAAAACTAAACTTGTAAATAATATGAACAGAATACACACGAGGAAACGAGAAACACTGATTTGTAACAACAGTCCAGCGACATGTGACTTCAGACTGGAAACGTTCTAAATACGGTTTTAAACGCTGCAGAGGTTACACGCCGAGCTTCACGGTCCTGAATGTGTGAGCGTCGTTGATTCTCATCCGGTTGAGCGGTCTGAAGTCATGAATCAGAGTTCTGAGTCAGATCCTCCGGTGACGACACGGCGTCAAAGTGCTCCTCCGCCTCAGAGCGCCCTTCAGAAGAGATGTCAGGTTACATGGACTTCAACTGGACAGCCATGCGCTCTCACTTCCTGTGTGACAGCGGCGAGACGAGCAGCAGAGCGGGAGACTTAATGTGAAGAATAACTTTTATGTTTCATGATTCACAGGAAACAGGGATGATTGTAGACGTCATTAAGAGTTTCTTCTTTAGAAACATTTCTAAAACCAGATCTCTGTTTGGAGCCAGAAGTCACCATATTTGGAGGAGAGGGAGGATTTAGAGAGGACAGAGGGGTCTCCATACATGTGTGGTGAGACTTATGAAGGGACCTTCAAAATAAAATACAGACTTATTTAGGGACCTTCAAATTAAAAAACACAGACTTATGTAGGGGCCTTCAAAATGAAATGAAGACTCATGTAGGGACCTTCAAAATAAAATACAGACTTATGTAGGGACCTTCAAAATAAATACAGACTTATGTAGGGACCTTCAAATTAAAATACAGACTATGTAGGGACCTTCAAAATAAATACAGACTTATGTAGGGACCTTCAAAATAAATACAGACTTATGTAGGGACCTTCAAAATAAATACAGACTTATGTAGGGACCTTCAAATTAAAAAACACAGACTTATGTAGGGACCTTCAAAATAAAATGAAGACTTATGTAGGGGCCTTCAAAATAAAATACAGACTTATGAAGGGGCCTTCAAAATAAAAAAACACAGACTTATGTAGGGACCTTCAAATTAAAAAAACACAGACTTATGTAGGGACCTTCAAAATTAAATTAAGACTTATGTAGGGACCTTCAAATTAAATTAAGACTTATGTAGGGACCTTCAAAATTAAATTAAGACTTATGTAGGGACCTTCAAATTAAATTAAGACTTATGTAGGGACCTTCAAAATTAAATTAAGACTTATGTAGGGACCTTCAAATTAAAAAACACAGACTTATGAAGGGACCTTCAAATAAAAAAATACAGACTTATGAAGGGACCTTCAAAATAAAATACAGACTTATGTAGGGACCTTCAAATTAAAAAATACAGACTTATGAAGGGACCTTCAAAATGAAATACAGACTTATGTAGGGACCTTCAAAATAAAACACAGACTTATGTAGGGGCCTTCAAAATAAAATACAGACTTATGTAGGGATCTTCAAAATAAAACAGACTTATGTAGGCACCTTCAAAATAAAAAAGACAGTCTTCTCCTTCAAAATAAAATACAGACTTCTCCTAAAGTGAAGCTGCTCCATTGTCCCTTCTGGGCCTCCGTACATGTGTGGTGGTGACTGTGTCTGCAGAGACTCTGTCCTCTGACTGGATTTTACTGTTCTGCTTTGTGACGGTTGACTCGGGACGTTTGTGGGCGGAGCTGGTGTGTTTCCTCCAGCCAATGACAGCGCAGCAGGTGAGTTTAGGAGTGGATACAATTCAGTGAATATAACAGACGTGGACGTAGCAGCAAAAAAGAGAAAACATAATGACAGTGCAATAAATCAGGAATCATAAAGAGAGGGGTTCACCATGGAGATGTGCTGGGTTTCTTTTAAATCTCTGCAGAGTGGATCGACCTTTCAGGTTGATAAACATCCTACAACTCCTGTGGAAATTGCACAAAAACATTGGCAACATTTCAGCATGTAAACGTTGCATCACATCATCCAAACAGTTTCCCTCACCATCTGTTTCTCTTCACACAACTTTAATCAGCTCTCTTCAGGTAACGTCTGTCATTCAGTTCAGTCGACGTCAGTCTCAATAGTTAACGTAAAGGTACTTCCTGTTTGCTGAAGTGAAAGGAGAAGACATAAATAAAAACTACAGTGAGGAACTTTACTCAAATAGATTTGTGGGTCAGATCGGATCCTGAGTTGTCGCTGCTCTGTGAGCTGTGGAGGAGTGAGACGCACAAAGTGACAGGAGGAG